GCTGTGTATGCTCGAGGCACGTCTGGAAAAAAGAAAACGGGCCGTCAAGTGATTGCTTCCTAACAGGTACAAGGTCTTGGCCATTGGGAAGCAAAAGAAGGAAAAAATCTATATTAAAAAAAAGAGTCACGATTACAATGGCATTTTGTCACCATAGCACTTCAGTACTCCTTGCAAGCCATGAAAGCAGGCATGATCCCCCATACCTTCTACTTCCTACCTACTCTTCTTGACATCATAATCTCTCACTCTTTCCCAACACAGCAAGATGTGAATGCTTTAGTCAGGTAAAAGTGCAACCTCAGGGGGTCCTTCTGTATTGAATGTCCAGCCACCTTCCCTCCTCTCTGACTCCTTCTTGGCCTTGAGGTTCAAACTCAAATTCCACCTTCTCAGTGAAACCTTTCCTGGCCATTTTAACCCTCAAAATTTGATTTTTCTCTTAACATCTACAACACTTCTTATTAGAATTTAATTATGAATATTTTGAATTTTACAGCATTTATTGGCTACCTTTATTACAAAAGTAATACATTGATATTAGAAAGAAATTTTAAAAAGAAAAAGAAAAAACACTTATAGACTATTTCAAGAGGACCACTCTAACACTGCATAAATTTTTCCTATCCATGCACTGGCAATTTTTTTTTTCACAAATAGGATTCTACTGTAAATGCTGTTATGCAAATTATTTTTAAAATATACCAATAAAATATTAATATGCCAATATACATAAATTTTCATCACTAATTTTTTTCATTATTATATTTTTGGTAGAGATGGGGTTTCACTATGATGCCCAGGCTGGTCTCGAACTCCTGAGCTCAAGCAATTTGCCTGCCTCAGCCTCTCAAAGTGTTGGGATTGTAGTCATGAGCCATTGCACCTGGCCACCAATATTATTTTGATTGCTCTATGATATTCATATTTATATATGAACCACCATTTATTTAGACAATCATTTCCTGTAAGGCATTTAGATTTTTTCATTTTCTTTTTGCTATCATACAGAAAAGATCTGTATACTCTTAATTTTTTCATTAACATAAATTCTAACACATACAATTTCTATACAATTTAAAAATATTAATATATACAAATGACAAAAGCAATCAAATATAAAATTACTACATTTTTCAATTGTTTCACATATATTAGTTTTGACTCGTTATGTAGATTTAAGTTTCTTGAGGATAGAGTCCAATGTTTCTTAATTTTTCACCTCAACAGTGGAACAGATGCTCAGATGTATATGTTGAAAAATTAGTTTACTTCATATGCCATATTTCACTAGTTTATCTCACGTAAGTTTTTAGATAATAGTGATATCAATTCTTTACTATAGAATAAGATCACTATAGATAGTAATGTAAGGATATCGCTTTCTTTTAGGGACTATTTACAAATTCTTCTTAGGAACTAAGGCAATCTTGGAGAAGATGGAGATGGTACAAATAAGATATGTATAGTTCAAAGGAAAAAGGCTGTCAGCCAAATTTAACAATTGCTAGAAGCAAAATTTTTGCTTTTCTAGTTTGGATTACCCTAATCATTTTTCAAAACTTGTGTGAGATTTTATACAATGAGAAATAACTCTTCTTGGCAGTGGTGTGTCCAGAAAGCCCCCAGGAGCGGGCCCCCCAAGGTCCTCTGTGCTGTCCAGCATTCCTGCTACATTCCCGGCACTGGTTCACATCTTTTCTCTATCCCTTAGATCTATCTTTCCCTCCTCCACCATCAGTGGATGATCTTTCTTCTTAGTCCACTAAGAAAACAGAATCACTCAGATACAGGCTTCCCAAACTTCCAATCATGATATTCCAGCCTCCGTGCACATCCCCATTTGTGCTGCCCTTCTTTCTGTTGCTTGGGATGAACCAGCCCCTTTCTCTCTCTGCGTGCTGCTTCTCAGCTTCCTTGGAGGGGGGTCTTCTTCATCTTGCTGACCGCTAAAAACCTTAGACTTCTCTTCTTTGCTCCTCTTCTCCACCCATGTTTCCAGTTGCTGTGCTGATGATACACAGATTTCTATCTCTAGTCTGGACCTTTCTCCTAAATTATAGATTCCTATGTCTGATCACCTGCTCACCTTTCCACTTAGATGTCTGAGAGGCATCTCAAGTGTACTATATCCAAAACCAAATGTTTCAGCATTTCCCCTGTACCTGCTCTGCCTGGAGCCTTCTCCATCTTAATAAACTCTCCATTAATCAGCTGTTCAGTCCAAAATTCAGAATTTCCTTTGACTCTTCTTTCATACCCTACAATGGAATCATCAACAAATCCTGTCCAGTTTATGTTGAAAATATATCTAGAATCCATTTATGGCTGTCATTCTAGCATTCTAGTAACAGTTTAAATCACCATCACCTCTCTCTTGACTTATCTCAATAGCCTCCTAGTTGATCTGTCTGCTTCCATTCCTGTACTTCCCTCCACTCAGCAGACTGACCCTTTAGGAGCTGAGGCCAGGACATGTTCTTTGTCTGCAGAAACCCCAATAGCATCCCACTCCATTCACTTTTGCCAGATTTCATTAGATGTTAACTTTGCCCTGCCATGCCTTATTCAAGGTACCACATTTGAATTTGTCTACTGTTCTGCCTAAGCAAAAACACAATATCTTCTCAACATTACCAGATTCTGTACAGGGTGATGGAGAGCAAGAAAATCAAAGGCTCAAGAACTGCCCGTCTTTAGTCTGTCTTCCTCTACTCATCTGTTTCCTGTATATTTTAATCTTTCCTATTTTATTTTATACAGCCAATGAGATTTCTATTATAGAAATAAAGTTTGTTTGTTTCAATGACATGATACAAATTTATTGTCCCTGGAAATCATGTTATGCTTAGAAATGTATCACAGGCAAGCCCATGCTCTGGATCAACACATACATATAATTATGTAGAAAAAAAATCTGTATGAGGAAAGGTTGAATGTTCCAGGCATGAGAAATAAATTGACCTCCACTCCAGTTACTGCCATGAATATACAGAGAGAAGGAGGACCTGCATGTGTTTCACATCGTAAATGCCTAAAGTGCCGGAACAGCACCACAAGCCCAGGAATGGCCATGCAAGCTCATGATGGAGGTGCTAAGGCTGTCCATAGCCCAGCCTCTGCAGCAATACTGTTAGAGTGTCTAGTACTTGACTTACCATTTTAATTTTACACAATCCTTAATATATTTTTCAGGCTTGAATTCAAACAACCCACTTCTAAGTACTGAAAATAAAGTAGAAAAATGAACCCACTATTAGACTTCAAAGCTTATTCAAAGCAAAGATTTTGTCTTACAGCCACAGAGGTGCATGATTGCAGAACTGGACCTAACCTGAGAGGCTAACAACTCCTAATTCAGCCTCCTTGAATGACTGGGCGATGCAACCTATCACAGGTGTATTAAGTTTTTTCATCTCTACTTGATGTCCCACCTCAGGCTTGAAAATCTCAAAGTGAAAAAGCTCCAGTCTGAGTCTTTAGACAAGCAGAGTAATGGAAAGAACCTGTTAGCTTTTGTTGTAGCCATCTGACAAGATCAGCTTGTAGAATCCAGAATGGTGGTGGTAAATCAGCTGGCAGCCATATTTCCTTATCTGAAAGCCGAGTAGGTTAGCAGAGAAAATCCAATCCCCAGACCTCCACGCAGAGGCTCTGCAGGGCTGTTAGAAAATTAGCTCAGCACCTTCAGCTTGCTTTCAGCCATCACTTAGCTTTTCACACAGACATTCCAAATGGGGCCTTTCAAAACTCTGCCCTCAAACGAAGGTGGTTCAGAGCAACGCTTTAGATGATATCACAAGACTCCCAAGGCGACGCTTCACTGCTTCCTCAGCATATGCCAATGCCCGTTTTACAGGGGGGATTTATGATCCTTCCCTTAGTAGAGCGAGCCAAAGTTTTATAATATTCATTAAAAATCAGCACCACATGTAATAATATGGAATACTGCCTGTACACAAGAGGGCCAAGTTATAGGTGTTTAGGGAAACGTGGCAGAATTTTCTGGCCTTGGCAAGAGGTAAAGTTGCAGGCACCAGCACAACACTAACACAACCTTATTTTATTGCAAATGTACGTTCAGCCTAAATCCTAATTATTCTCTGTAAAATCCTAACCACCACCAAGCCTTCTTCTGACAGGTCACTCCTTGAAGGGCAGCAACAACACCCTAACAGCCTCAGAAAGGAAAGGCAGGGGAGAGTGGCTGGAAGGCAGTAGGAGCTGGGGCTGAAGCCCGGGAGGTTGGCTTTTAATGTCCTCCTGAAATTGACCGAGCTCTTTCCAAAACCACTGGCGTGGGGGCTTAGAGGTTCGCTCAGTGGGGCAGGCGAAGGCCCTCCCGAAAAGGATTCAGAAGTCAACATTCAAAAGGCTGCTTTTACTTGCCCCGTCCCCACCTCAAAGGGAGTCCGGTCAGCTTTGTGGGGGCCCATGGAGCATCTTTTCCTGCTCCTCCGGGAAAACGCTAGCTAACCCCAGGATCCCAGGTCTCGAAGTCTGCTCCCCTTCCCCTGGTGCAGCGCCTATGGATTTGGCCCCCTCCCCAGGTGCCACACCAGCCCTCACCACTACGTTCACCCCGCTCTGCCCCCAACCCTTGTCTTTCGAGGCCCGGAAGGCCGGGCCGAGCGGGTCGGTCAGCCAGGCCGAGAGAAGGGGGCTCTCCGAGCCCAGCGTCCGCACAAAGCTGGGAGATCCGCGGCTGCTGCTGCGGCGGCGGAGGAGGCGGCGTGAGGCGCACCCCCTCCCGCGAGCCGGCGGAGCGCGCGCGCCCGCCCCCCGCCCCCCGCCCCCGCGCCCGGAGCGCCATTCGCGGAGCGGCTTACGCTAGTCGCCGGGCGTACAGCGCCCCAGCGGCCTGGGAGGTGCGCTGCCCGGCTCCCGTAAAGTTATTGTGAATGGGGAGCGGGTGACGTCAGCCCCGAATGTCAACAATGTAGCGATTGAGAGTGTGGGCGTTCCGGGGAGAGCTGGAGCAGCGCGGCGCGGAGCAAACAGCGCCGAGCCGTCGCCGCCTCAGCAGCCTCAGCAGCCTCAGCAGCAGCAGCAGCAGCAGCAGCAGCAGCAGCAGCGGCCGTGCACGCCCGGGCTGAGGTCGTACAGCGCTAACGTGAGCGGCCGCCGCCCTCGCCGTCCCGCTCTCGCTTTCTCCACAGCCTCCCCTCGCCCCTTCCTCTCCCCCTTCCCGGCGCTCTCGGGGGGCTGGGAACGAGCTGCCATGTGATGCGCGTCCCCTCCGCGAGCTTTCGGTGACCCCCGAACCGCCCACCGCGCCGGCTGCCGGGAGGGGGCTGCGGGCTGGGAGGACGCGGGGAAGAGGAGGCGGAAAAGGACGCAAACTTCTCCGGCGAGGTGAGTCCCGGGCCCCAGCGCCGGGCGGGGTGGTGGGGCAAGTTTACGGGGGGAGCGGGCGGGCGGGGAGGCGTGGGGAAGCGGCGCGGGAAGGGAGCCCCGGCTGCCCGGCGCGTAGCCGCCCTCCCCGCTTTTATGGCATTTTCTAGGAACTGGAAGGGGGTGGGAGCCGAGCCGGCAGCCGCGCCGCGCCGCGCCGAATGTGCGCTCTGTCTCCCGCCCGGCTGTTTACGGCGGCCGAGGCGGCATTGTATTTTGCTCGCGTCGAAGGGTGTTTTGGAACGGCAGGGGGAGGAGGAGCAGAGGGTAATAAGTCAGGCGTGGGGAGGGCTGGCTGCAGGGAGGCGCGCGTCCGCCCAAGCCGGAGCAGCTGTCAGACCCGCGGCCCTGCCCCCGGCCCCCAGCCCGCGATCCCCGCGCCAGGCCGGGCGGCCTCCTCCTCAGCCTCCGGCGTGCGCGCCCCGGGCTGCTCCGCGAGGACAGTGGCCGCGGCGCCTTTGCGCTCAGCTGTCAGCCGCCGCCGGGTGGCCCGGACCACCGCGACCGGCAAGGAACCAAAGCCCAAGTTAAGGGTCGCGGGAAGAGGCGAGTTGGGAGCCTCCCGGCGCAAACCTGGGTGAAATCTCTCCTAGCAAAAGATCCGGTGGTCGGAAAGCGTCCCGCGGAGCTAAGACCTAAGGGCTCCAGGCTTTTGAGAGGGAAACCTTGCACCCCCTCACCCGAAGATCCTGCAGGAAGTCAAAGTGCAACACACGCACACATCCCTACACTCCAGTCTCCAAGCCCCAGAAGCGTCACCCAGGTTTATGAAGGGGGCACTGCCCTCCCCGTCCCCGCGCCGAGGCGCTCCATTCCGGCAGAGCTTCCCTCACCCGGCGGGTGTTCGGGATCCCAGCGCCGCTTGAGACGGCGGCGGGCGGCGCTCACGGGCTACCCCAGGTGCCCACGAGGGGACACTGGAGCGAGCATCTTAGCGACCTCGGCCTGGTCGAGGATCTGCGGGAACTCCGACCCGACCGTGAGGGGAAGCGGGCAGGGCAGGGTGTCAGTGTGTGAAGGGGCCGCACACCCCTGGCTTCGGGGGTCGCGGGCGCGCGGGGCATCCCCAGCACCCTCGCGCGCGTATGCGAGTTTGGCAACTTGAGGGAAGTTCTGGCGCGGCCGCTGCCGGGGTGGTTTTTCTGTGGCCCGAGGAGGCGCGCCTCGAAGCCTGCCCGTCGGGTCACCGCCGTCGCCATGACCCGTGGCCGCGGGGAAACGAGAGGGACCGGGGCGTCCCACCCGCGAGACGGAGCCGCAGCCTCCCGGCGGGCCCGCGTACGACGAGACGCGGTGTTCCTGGTTTTCACCTTCGATGTGTAGTGCTGCAGTCTCTCACTCTCTGTGTAAATTTCATCTGTTGAGTGTATTTAACTAAAAAGGGTAATTACTTTAGATAAAAATCCTTTCCTGCCTAGTGGGAACCTTGGCGGAGATGATGCCTAATGAGATATTTTGCTTTTGTCTGTTTAGAGTAAAATTAGAGATGTTAACGCTGATAACGGTTTTCTCAGATCATTAAAATGTAACATGTAGGAAAGGCATGTCGAGTTGCAAAGGCTCGGGCTGACATGAAAGAAGCTGAGCGTAAAAGGCTGCCCCTCCTTTGGGGGAGAGGGTTATTTTGGTAAGGCAGCAGGCGTCTTGCTTAAAATGTGAGATCGCCCCACCCTGGTTCTTCTGCACCTCGCGAATAAACGGCATTTTTCATTCTTGCAGGTAATAATAAACGTGAGTCAAAATGACATCTTGTTAGAATTAGTCTTTAGTCTGTAAGAGAGATTGCCAGATTACAGTGTTGCGTTCAAACTATTCCAGTGAAAGGTCTGTCAGCATTTCCATTATAAATTCAGTTTTTCTGGAGTTTGTAATTTTACCACAAAACTTTGAGTGGCTGAGATGTTTTCCCTTCTAGTGTTATGGTTTTTTAAAAGAAATGCATTGATTGCCCATTTCCAGCATCTTTGCTACTCCTGAAACCTGAATATCATTCAGATAGGGGGAAGTCCCAGAGATGGAATACACAACCATGGAATAAAGTATTTTTGTTAGAACATAACTTTATTGGAGCAGAGCCGTATTTTCATTTTGGATTGCGGGAGGCTTCAGGTTTGCCATTTGGTATTCATGAATGTGTTGAGTAAATTCTTCTGTCTATTCTGCAGGTGAACTGAAATGTCAGTTCGTAGTGTGTTTGCCAGAATTACATGGAGAGACACACTCCTCAGTTATGTGTGTGTCTGAACTCATAGCTAAATTATGAACACTCCTCTTACTTTTTGTTTCCTTGTATGTTGCATGTCAGGATCTGCCATGGAGAAGAAGGGGTGAGGCCAAAGAGAGGGAGGGGATCAGGAATCACTTTCAGTATTACCAATGCCTGGGAGGAAGCCATTTATTCTCTTTCTACTGAATTATGCCCTTTGACTCAGTATCTTCAGGCAATTCTTTTCCAGTGGCTCACCTCTGGCTGCTGTGTGAGGGGCTTAATTATTTGCAAACTGCCTTGAAATCCCTGGATGAAAGGCACTGAATAAGTGCACAGTATTGTTATTCAGATATGGAATTTAATGATCCATTACAGTTCATCAGGAAAATGCACTTTGCAGTGATGGTAGGAAATGTTTCTACCTGATAGAGGGTAATAATAACTGCTTAAAGGTAGATTCAGATTACAGATGAGACAATTAACTCTAGCCATGTGCTCTTCAATTTGTTGCAATTCATTTTGTGATCAAAGTGAGTCACAGAGAGCCAGATGGTCAGGTTCATGTTCACATCTCTCCTAGGCCAGCCCTTCACTCCTGGGCCCACTGTCTGCACAGCCGACAGGACTTAGTTATTCATTAGTGCTTGTGAGCTGTTACTCAGAATTCCTAATCGAGGCTCCGGTGATGCCAACAAAAGGGCTCAAGCCAATCTACATGGTTGGGAGCAGTTTAATTTTACTTGGATTAACTCTTACTTAGTGTCTCTGGTGTGGATCCAGCCTTAACAAAAAAGAGACCCTTGTGGCTCTCTATCTCTGCTCTGCCTGGCCCCTCTACTCTAGTTTTTGAACCTCAGATTTCAGGGGTGTGACACCTAGCTTATTGTAAACCCAGGCTTGATTGCTAATGAATGAGAGAATACTTAGATAAATAAATATCTTCCTGTGTGTCCAGGAGGTGAGAGCCATGACTAGCTTCATGGGCATAAGACCTGTGCGGTGACATAGGCCCCTTTCCCCTTCCCTGCTCAGAAGGACTTCACATTTGGTTTAAGGTTCTACTGTTGTCTTCTGAAATTCTTAATAATTTTTGAACAAAGGGCCCCTCATTTTCATTTTTTACTGAGGCCCACAAATTATGTACCTACCTGGTTCTGGTGAGGAAAAGGGCATAGCGTGAAGTGGCAGGCAGCTCCTACTCAGCTTGTTGTAGACTCTTGCCAGGGAAGAGTTGGTAGAATTACTGGCTTTGTGTTGCCACATCGTTTGATTTTTCCAGGGGGAGGTGGATATTGGATATTTATGTGGAATTTCCTGATTTTTAAATATTGGCTCAAATCTTTAAAAAAATTTTGGGTGAAAGCATACATAAGAGCTAGAGCCGGCCTGCAGGCTGCTTGTTGCCTACCACTGAACAGACTGAATCATCTTTTTTATTTAATATCTTTGCCTGTCTCTGTTTTCTAAAGGCCTCACATATAGTGGATGATTTGTGAATATGCACCAAATGAATGGTTACAACTATCTGGAAAATAGAAAGATGCCAAAAAACCAAAACTCTAAATCAAATCAATACTGAGTCCCACTGAGGGATTGATAGCTTCCTTTTTAACAGAGAATTCAAAATGAAAGGCCAAATAATTTAATACCATGGGTACAATGTGATTCCTTGCAGGTAAATAATCCAATGCTTTTGAACCACCTGCCCTCTATTTAGTTGTTATTGACCATATGGGGTAACTTGGCTGGGTAATGCCTGAGGACCTCCATGGGAATTTGACATTTGAGAACTCACCAAAACAATAGCTTTGATTTACTGAATCTGCACCATGTGCCAGACCCAGTGCTAGCTACCTTACCTATATGTACCTCATTGACTCATCAAAGTAACCTTTGAAGTAGGTGTGGTGCCCACCCATTCTGCAGAGTTGGGAGAACTAATCTCATGTAGGAGTGAACTTAATCTGAATATAGTGTGTGTTTTCTTGAATGTCTAAAGGTTATTTCCCCATTCTGTATACACAGTCCAGCCCTGAATCAATGACTGGGCATGGTGTAGAACTGTGGCATACAGAGAATGTGGTCCCTGCCCTTACATACACAGAACAGAAAACAATATAAAATGTAACATATTGTCAAAATCTGCAATTCAGATAGCAGACGCTATGCATCTGCCTCCCTGTTTCCCTCCTTTCCCTGTCTGGATGTTGAAGAAGCTTCAGTGACATATGACCCTGTCAGAGGTACTCACAGTTCAGAAGTCAGGGCTGGTTGCAAAAATCGAAATTTCTTTAGTAAAGAAGACAAGCTTTTGGCAGAGCTGGGGCCATTTATGGGAATGCAGCACCCAGGCCTTGGGAATGAGGGAAAATAGCTTCTGTATTGTTAATGGCAATGTATGACCTCTTTCTCCTATCTTTAAATTTTGTGTAAATATTTGCAAATTGTTCAAGTCCAAACTGAAACCTGCTATGAACTAGACATTTTGTGAACTCAGTAAGATTGCCCAAAATATAACTTACCTTTCACCTTTTTTTTTTCTTTTTTTTTCTTGTTTGGGATAACATTTAATTAAAAATAAAAGTAGTTACTTTTTTTTCTTTTGTCAGTTCAAGGTCTTTTAATTTTTTCCCTTTTTTTTTTCTTTTTTGTTAATTTTGAATGTCAGTCTATCTAAAACTGAAACTTAATTTTGCTATCAGCATGCTACTCAGCTTCCTTAAGGCTGGAAATATTCTCTGAATCTTACCAC